GTTCAACTCAGATTACAAATCTGGAAATCATAGATTTGACCAACAAGTCTGAGTCGAGACCAAAGGTCAAAAGAGTAGAAATGGGCTAAAACTGGTAAACCAATTAGCTTTGAAACTTGAATACTTTATTTTTTCCCCCATACTAAATTATATTGAAGTAGGGCTGGGCGGTAAACCAAAAATTTACTGGTACTGAAATTTACGACAATAACCAATGTCATTTTGCCAATATATATGTATATATGACAATATATTTGGTGTCAAAAATAAATAAAAAGTTTGTTTTGGATGTGTGTAGGTAGGCTATGGTCCCTTCAAGATGCTGTCCTATGTCAGAGGTCTCATGTCCCTTTAAGACGCTGTCCTACGTCATTATCGAGGTGAACTGCTCAATATATTGTGATATTGATTTGAGGCCATATCGCCCAGCCCTATACTGAATACTGTATCAAGCTGTACCCATTGTACCTATGTGGGGCCTATATGTTGCCCATCACAGGCTCTTCATTTACCCATCAGAGCTGAACTATGTTAAGTCTTGAGAACAGCTTAAAAATTGGCAATGCCTCAGGTGGGTATTTCTTCTCAATGTTGGCTCTACTAGGACTTTTATCATAAAACTTTACAGATATACATCAAAGTTCATCAAAATTATCTCATCTGAAAGCATTACTTTATTATAAAATTAGAAGCTGCCAGTTCCCACCAGATCTGAAGAGAGCATAAAGAGGTGGTGAGTCATAAACAATCGGCAGGATGGGACAGAAGCAAATATTGGCTTCAGCTTCAAACACACAATAAGCACGGACCCAGAGCGAATTTGTTTCTCTTGAAAACATAGTGCATGAATGATGAGATGATGAATTTTTCCAGGACTGTGGGATATTCAGCTACTGCAAACAGCTGAAGCTTCACAACTAGCAGGTCACAGAGGGACACACAGTAAACAAATACAGCTATTCCATACAGCAAAAATGAGGAGTGAGGTAATGCTCTTCTTGGCTTTGTTTTAACTTTTCTTTTAGGTATTAGATTAAACCTTTTTCGTATCTGACAAATGGACCAACTGCAATAAAAAGTGAATGTTCACTGTGCCATTTATGTCTGTGGGATACTCAATTATTTAAGGCTTCAGTGCAAAAACTGATCCAGTTAGAGGCAGCACTAATACTTGAAAATTACATGTAGATGAATCAAATGAAAGGCTTGTATTCTTGTCCTCGAATGGCCCTGAGGCGCTGTTTTATCGAGACAGAGTGAGACAAAGTACAAGAGCAGTACGAACAACGTAATAACTGGCTCATAGGTGTGACTCTGGGCAGCCTTCTCATTAACCTTTTCATCTAAGAAAAAGTTCCAGATTAAAGTATCTATGCAGTTCCCTCTTCATAATGTCCTCAAAAAATTCACTTATACTAATGAAAGTCTGTGACTTGCAGACACGATCACAGCAATAGTGAAATCATGTCAAATTCTTCTGTAAGAATATAAAATCATGAACACAAAAGCACACATCCTGACCCACTTTCAGCATATCATTTTAAATCACCCCCTCACGCCTAAATAGCAATTCCAAAACAGAACTGCATAACACACAACTGAGAGCAAATGTTTCTCCTATCTGTGCGACAGAATCCCTGCTGGCTCTTGATTGAGATTCTGTTCCATTATGCAGATAGGTACAAATAATCACTTAGAAAGAGAACATCATTAAAAATGTACAGCATGAACTGACATGACTATTTCTTATTCCATTAAAGTGGGAGCTTTGACATATAATGACTGCAAATTGCGCCATCGTCGAGAGCTTTAAGTCAGGTTCCACATGGGATGATGTGCCAGATATCGACGTCTCCCTCCAGTCGTTGCTGATGACACGGAAAATGTTGATGTCCGATGGAATCCCACTTGCTTGCAAATGGTTTTTTACCTTTTTTAAATGTATCTGCCGAAGCAACTCAGGCGAGCAAATTCAGACTGCGCTGTCTGCGGGCCAATGCAAGTGGGGGATCTAATCAGGAGATGCAAAGTGCAGCACTCTAATTGCATCATTAGCTAAACCAATGACTCAGTCACAGTGACTTCAGCCTCCCCCTCCCCCCACCACTCCCTCCTCTGCCCCATCCAGAAATAGGGAGCCAAGCCTCAAGCTCTTTACTGTACAGCTGCTCAAGCAGAATAATTCTAACATGTTATGTGCAACAGCACAAAATGTTAACGGTCCAGAAATATCCATCTGAAAAGCATAACATAATGAGACCGTGCTACACACACTGTCATCAGGACAATCTTTACGCACAGATGTTCGTCTTCCAGGGAACCAGGGACACTAGTTTTCTCAGAAATAAGGAACATAAGCTCAGGAACACAATGCAGTGATGTTGCCTAAACATGACAGACATAGCCCTGTCGAAAAACGCTGAAGACTGTCATAGGGCAAACAACTACCCCCAACTGTTTCTCAGTGTACCCACAGGTAACACTCGTACACAGGCAGGCGCACACTCATGTTTTTGATGATTTGGATTTTGATGTGATGTGATTTTAACAGCAAACACTGCTCTCTCTTGATGCACAGTAATGGGAACAGAGCCTCGCAGTCTTTTTCGGCTTTACTTTTGTTTGGTTGTAGTGGAAAACACTTGAGTTGGCTTCCTCTTTGAGTGACCCTTACTTGCCAGGGTCCTCTTAGCTTTGCTGTCAATGACTAAGAGGCGGTTTCCCAGCATTTGAAACTGCAGACTACCAGTAAAAAAAAAAAAGAAAAAAAAAGGGTTTGCATTTCCTCTCTCTCTTCACAATGAAGGGGGTGAAGGTAACACATCAGGGTGTTTCCGGTTTTAATTGCTCAAACCGAAACGAGAGCCTCGTGTCAGTCAAGATACAGCTACTTGAAACATGAATGTCTTATGAGAAGTTCTTCAAATGAGGACATCTATCATGACCTTTAATTATCCCATCTTAGATATGCACAAGATACATCACGCTGATTCATGTACATGTATGTTAAGGCTCTTTCTATCGATGTCTCGGACTGATGGATGCATTAACTCGGCCTCTGCAGCATTGTGGAGTTCGTAAATGCACCACCATCGTCTGAGTCTGCGGCTGCTGCTGCTGCTGAGGATGGATGGAGAGCTTCTGGGACTGACGTCTCTTCATGTCGGTTCACATCTGCAAAAACCTCCTCTCAACGTTAGGATACGATGTCTCTCTAAATTCACGTTTGTCTTGAAGAAAAATCTTGTGAACAGTGAACACGAGTGAGCATCACCTCGGGGCCAACTGCCAATTTGAGACGCTTATGTCAACCCATTTAGAGCAGAGATTGGAGCGAGAACTTGAGGCACATCATTCACAACACACTTAGCAATCTAATCACGGTAACTCAAAACAGACACCCACTCTTTCAATGATGTAACACCTGCCCCGTTTTTACTGCCGTTTACGTTTATGATATTAATTTCGATGCCGTTTATAGACGTTACCGTGATTAACGTCGCTTAAACTGCTCTGCTAACATAAAATAGCTTGACTTGGCAAAGTATCATCGCTTATAAACAGTGCTTTACGCCCACGTAACACTTACAGTTACAGAAAAAGGAGAATTTCTCTTACCGTTGGTGAAATCCCTCTCTTCCTTTTTGGCTGTGTGTGTGAAGAGCTTCTGGATTTTTGTTGCTCTGGCACAACTACCACGCGCTGCCTCGAAGCCCCGCCCCGTCGGCTGCGAGGGAACTGCCATTGGTTAGATGAGATACAACTGCAGCTACACCGAAGCTTCTTATTGGCTGGAACAACTGCCAATCTATTTGGATTCTGCTTCCCGCGTTGTAAGAGCAGATCACAATACATTACATTATGCAGCCTATATTTAGGCGTCAACAACCGCAGAGAACAGTGTGGAAACTAGTGATAGGCACGGCAGTTCTTTTAGATGTACTGAATCACTAGAATCAGATCACTAAAAAGATTCGTTCTAAAGATTCGTTCACCAAATCACCGACTCATTTAGCGGAAGAAGCCTGTGGCTGTGTCTGAAATGAATCCCTAACCCCTATATAGGTGACTACATGGGGGTTAACGTCATTTTGAAGGGTGTCCGAAATCTCAGTGATCAGTTACAGTGCCCTATATAGGCGACTCGAAATGTCCCATAAAACTTTGCAAAATGTTGTGACCATCCGATGGTCACTCACCGGTGGTGTGCATCCCGTCATGCATTTCGTCATGCCATGTAGTGTCCGAAACCTTTGGTGATTGAGCTCACCACAAAGTCAACTATATAGTGAAATCCAATATGGGGGTAAGGGTGTGGGATTGAGTGATTAATTTCAGACACAGCCTGTGACTCTGACCTCCTGAACTGATACACAGCTGAACAGTTCAGGATTCAGTTCAATTCATAGCTTCTGGGACCGGGAGATGAGAGTGTTGTGTTGCTTTGGCAAACAGGTTTGTAAAAACGAACTTGTTTGTAAGTCATGATGTTTTAAGTGTGCTGTCCTACGGTATGCTATTTATTAAGTCTGTTCAGGGTCAGTGAGTGATTTGTTTACTGAACGTTTAGAAGAATTCACACTGAACATGCACCATTCCCTCACAAACAGCTGCAATGATAGGATGCTGCAGGTTTAATGCACTACTTGCTACATGCTGTGTCCTATTGTATGCAAATTGTTCTGGTGGCAATTTAGCAGTGAAAAAAAGGTAGTTTTGTCTGACAAAAATGATTCCAGAGAGTGTGGTTCAATGAGTGATTCATTCACCAAGTGATTTAGGCGTCGGTGCATGTGGTCCCTTGTTCACCGGCTGCTGGCCTGACAATGCTGTTTCTCACTTCAGCTCAACTGAACGAATCACTCGAGGAAGTGATACGGTTCAGTAGTTCACTTAAGAGATTTGGTTCTTTTGAACGAATCGTTCGCGAACGACACAACACTAGTGGAAACAAATCACAGTGACCTCAGGTATTAATATAGCATTAAAGAAAAACACACACAGTTTCATCACATTTTCGTTTAATGTGCAACAATTAAACTGTCAGAGTAAGAAGCAAGCCGTTTGTGGAAAATCTACAATACAGGGAAATCAATTCCACCCCATTGGAAAGCCAGTGCAGTGATTATCCAGATTGTGTTTCAGTATTAGATGACAAAGGGATGCCTTTTACTGCCAACTAAGAAAGACAAAGGGAAGACAATAACCTGTCCGAACAGAATCATCCTTATATCCCCTCAGGAGAATGATTTGTCACTGGTGACTTTGACTTTTTGTGTCAGCTACAGTGGATCAGCTGTCTCAGTAGTTGCAAACTTGTAAAGCAGGCAGTGCAGCTGGAAGGATGAACATGGCTACGGTTAGTCTTTTAGCATGAGAGGAGCCTTGACTTGAGCTGCAACTTCAGCCCCCATCAGTTCCTCTACAATCGTCAGGGCAAACTCGAAACTGGTTCCTGGCCCACGACTGGTGATGTAATGTCCATCCTTCTGTACTCGAGCCTCTGAATATTTATAGTGATCTAAAAAAAAAAAAAAGACAAAATGCAAAACCATAAAGATAATGACAACGCGAGAGCTCCAAGCTTTAGATTACGAGCCCTGAATGCTTGCAATCAGACCGCGCAATCGACACTTATACATCGAGTATCTATCACTTTTTCAAGTGACCCAGTTTCTAGTATGTTCTGTCAAATTCCAGCATTTGCTTTAACCTGAGTGCTGTGCTCCACTCTGCTGCATAGTGACATGATTTCTTGGAGGCAGGCAAAAGCCTATACAGCACCACCTGCTGTCCATTGAAAACAACTACAATATTAGCTGCCCTCTACAAGAGCAACAAATGTCAAAAAACACTATCTATGCATTACAACTCAATGTCAATACTTTTATTTCTGTGCATTTTTTTGGTTTATATATATATATATTTTTTTTTACCTCCAGCCATCATCTTCTCTTTCATGCCAGGATGTGTTGTGACTGTGCTGCCGTACCCGATGCCATGTGCGAGAAGAGCGGTGGGACCTGCAGAAGGGCAAAGCTCTTTAAGGTTCAGTTAACAGCTTAAATACTGGCTCTTATGAATTTGGTCTGTCGCTTGTATCGGTGCATGTTCCGGCTTTTATGCAGTTAAAAACATAAGGTCAGGGTCAAGGGTGAAAAAGAAAAAAATACTACATCTTTGAATCACTTCCTTCAAGTGAAAGTCCCACACACAAAAGAAAAAGAAAAAAAAACACTTGTAACATCAGGAGTTGCTGTTTGTACATTCAGTTAAAGACAGAAGTAAAAATACTTAATGACAACACTTTGTCCTGAAGGTGTCCTTAACTGTACCATTGTTTCTAAGAATATGCGCATGCTGTATACAGTTTCACAGCTTGTATCCAAAGACTGCATCACGCTGAAAACAGAGAAAAAAGGAGAGGCTGAAGACATTGACTGCTGCTGCATTAACTTTGGCAACGTCCTAACACTGCAGTGAGCTCATCCAAAAACTGTTAATAAATAGAAAGTTATTGATTATGCTCCTTGGCTGCCTTCCCATGCAGTCTAAAGATTACACTTTCCCCTGGCAGAACAGCAGACTGCCCGGTAGAGCCAAGCTACTCCTGTTACAGCTTGTCCCCACCCAGAGGACGCTGGTCTTGGAGAGAGAGACCTTTTAAAAATCAGGATCAGACAGCGAGGTAGACACAGAATGTTGGAAACAGTCTCAAATTACTCTCAAAATTTTGTTTTTGTTGCTTGTTTTGTGGTTAGGACTTCACACACATGAAACAAAGACGAGCCCAAAAAGAGAACTGTTTGGGTTTTCAATTCAGAGGGGACTTTCTTCCATGTCGAGACAATATCATCCTCGCTGCAGTGGAATAATACGTCTTGTGAGTGGCTCACGCTTGCTGGCAGGTTCATTAACTTGTACATCCCAGTGAGGATTTTCGCTCATTTTCTAGGACACCCTTCAATCCACTTTGCCGCAACTGTCCCCATTTAAACTGTCCTTCCAGTGTCCTTTCTCTGCATACGAGGGGGGGCTGTCAAATGAAATGTCAGTGCTTGTGGGTTCACTCAGGGACAGATGTTAATCAAACCTGCACCCTTTTATTGCAAATACCAAAGAGGGGTCAGACACAGTCATGAATTTATGCAGCCTGTCATCTCACAAAAGTGCATATATTTCTGTAGAAGGTTAAGAAGTGTGACAACCTCTGTCTTTATCTAGTATATATACTTATTATACCAGATAATGTCCATGTCATGTGTAAAAAAAGTGAACAAATTTTCTGTCAAAGATCTTTTACTCTGCTTAAAAGCATTTTAAAATCACACTTACCTGTGCTATATTTCTTCTATATGGTCAAACTATAATATCAAACCTTTAGAGCAGTTTATAATTTAAAGGGTTTACAGGTCACATGGTTGGATATGGAATTGTGATATATATTAGTGAACAGTTAAAGTTCATCCAAGCATGCTGCAGTCTGAATTCTGTGAAACCTGTCATCTCCTTAACGATACCAGCTAAATGATCAAATTTGACATATTTAAACCTTAACCTGGAATAAGGTTTTGCTATTAGAAGCTGCTCCTGTATAATTATGACTTTAGGTTGTTTATTACAAAGAGAGTACCTGCACAGATGGCTGCAATCAGACCCTTTCTGCCATCTTGATCCTTCAGCACCTCCTTCACAGCAGGAGACTGCGGGAGAGCAAAGAAACCAGATGCACATTGAGTCATTTGCGGGCCATGTGATTGCACAGAGTGCTGACTAAGGTTTAATTATTGAAAATTACCGGCAATGACATGAAAAATAACCCGACAATGCTGCGATACAGCCACAGATTTCTTTAGACCAAAACAAATGAAAATTACAGTTTATCTTGGCTGAATACAATTTCTGGATGAGTTGGAGGAAACGTGTCTTCTTTCAGACTCGGAATACAACAACCTATTTTGCAGTAGGATTAACTTCAATCTGTTTTACAAAACTTAAATGACAGGGAATATAACCTTAACCCTTTCATTAGATGATAAATGCACATTCACGATTGGCTTCCCGAGTTATTCATTGATTTTGTGCAGGGTGAGAGAGCGGGCAAATAACTTGGCAAGACGCCGTTTTCAAGATCAAATATTTACATAAAGTGAAACAGCTTCAAATCATATCTTCTCCAAACTAGTTAGCCAACTGTAAATCCGTGTTACTAACTATGGTGCTTTCTGTGTTGTGTAATGCAGTCATTTATGGTAATGTTTTCATAAAACTTAGACAAATGGGAAATATTCGGGGTTATTCTAACTGGCATTGTGGATAACAGTTTTAAAATATCACTAAATCACCACACTACAAATATTTGTGTTCACTGTGTGGCGCAGGATAACTCAAAAGGCTTCCATATGTGGTCAATGTAAAAAAGTAGGCGGGCTTGTGCGGCTATGACACACCAGAGGAAAATGCAAAACCAACAATGATATTTGATTCAAAGGTCACACCTTAAAGTCAAATAGTTTTGGTTATTCATTGAAAATATTTCTCAATCGTTTTATCTACGTACATTTCAAGTTTTTTTTTTTAATGACAGGGTCTCTGTGGAAAGGCGGTGACATTTTAATATAACAGTCCCCAGATACTGTATTCAATATCTGGTGCTCTTGTTGACTTGCAACTGTCAGTCAAATCTCATCAAACCATTTACACAGCCCAAAGAAGAAAAGTGAGGTGAATGAGTTTTGGAGAGGTAAAAACACAGTACACAATAGTGAAAAGGCTTGAATTGTGGCTGACACCAACATACTCACAAGTTGACAACTATTTTATTTAATTAAAATAACAGTTATCTGAAAGCTATTTGTTGACATGGGCACATGGAGTGTTTTCTGCTTCACTAATGTTGAGAACCCCTGGGTCACCTACTGTGATGTTATCATAAAAACAAAGTATCTTGACGGCTTGGCTTTAGAAGAGCAAGGCTAATGTGGACTGATTTTGGCCCATGGGTAAACACCATATAAGGTCTGAACCCACACTGACCGAGCATGAAATGCAGTCTGAATTTATTTCTTACCTCTGCCAGATTCTGGGCTCCTGGCATTCCTCCAGGTAGAAGAACCACATCATATGGGCCCTGGGAAACAAATCATAATAGATAAAAGGAGACTACAAAGGTTGAAATTTCCAGATGTGATCCAGTGTAATTTGATAACTGAACATTTCCACCTTTATGACTATTCAATGTGTATTTATATTGGCTTTGAGCAGCCCTCCTACAATGTTAAGACAGTTTTGGTCGATATATACGATGGCCTAGAACTGCCACTGCTGCAAATAAAAAGAATGCAAAAAAAAAGAAGCCACAATGGAAGTTACTGATAAAAAAAGAAACCGAAGCCCACTGCAAATGAAAGAAGAGGCGGTGCAGATAAAAAAAATAAAAGGCCAGGATGGGAGTTAATGATGCAAAAAATGTGGCAATGCAAAAAAGTTACTTACTGCGAAAATAAAAGGATGCAATAAATAAAAGCCAAATGGAAGTGAGCTGCCGGGGACTAATAATTCTAGACTCAGGCGCTACATGGCCTGACTAAATGCACATTGAATCGCACATGAAGTGAAATTAAACAATAACCTTTCCACTTCTTTGCTCGTCTTTTCGTCGTCGTCTTCTGTGCCTAGATCGTAAAATACTGGTGCATCATCATTATTGGTCCCCGGCAGCTCAGCTCTTTATTTGCATCCTTTTATTTTCGCAGTATCTGTTTTTTTTCATCACCACTTTTTTTTGCATCCGTAACTTTTGTTGTGGATTTTTTTTTTTTTTTTCATCTGCACCCTTTCCTTTTTTTGTTTGGAGCGGGCTTCGGTTTCGTTTTTGCATCCGTAACCTCCATTGTGACCTTATTTTTACATTCTTTTTTTATTTGCAGCAGTGGCGGTTCTCAGCCACCGTAGATATCTGCTGAGACCAACCTGTTTGCTGGCGTCCTCTAGGCTGGCATCAGGACACAGGACGACATTTCTGCTGCACTGGACTGGCTCTTTGCCCGTCAGCCCTGCAAGCGTCACTGCAATCTAAGAGTTTGTGAAGTCAAGTAAAAAAAACAACATTAGTCTGATGTCAAAGTCAGAGCATCCCATCTGTTCATGATGAGTGAGGACTTTTATTTTGAAAGCGGAGGAGTGGCGTTGAACTTTGACATTTCGGCCTCTGTCTGCACATACTTTTAAAGGTTAGGAAAGTGCGTCAGCATTAACACAACTGTTACCACATACATTATAATCATGTAAATGCAGATTTATGAAGAGCTGTGCAGGGTTTGTTATGCTAGTATTCCTATAAGCTAATGTTTGTTTGGCAATGTTAGCTATCAGGGCTGATTAATATAAGTATAACCTTATCAATACGACAAACACCACTGTCACTATTAGCTTATTTCTGTGTTATGTCTGATGTGCACCATAAACAAAACAGCTCAAACAAAGTGTAGCGTTGATATGGTGTTAAGATACTGTCCATTCACTAGCTAGCTCGCTGCTAACGTGTAAAGAATAAGTGAACAAAGCTGCAGACAGGTACAGACCCCAGCTCTGCGCATGACGTCCACAGGAATAACAGTCTCCATCTCTTCTGCACCTTTAGACAGGATCACCAGAGCCCGCTTTCCTGCCATGGTTAGCTGAGTTATGCTACAGACAAGTGCAAAGACGCTAACAGCAGAGAGTAACTTCAGCAGGGCTAGTCTGCAGAGGCTGCGCTGAGGCTTTGACAGGGACAGGGTTGCCAGGCTCTATCTTCGCATCCCCCTTTAAAAGATGATCAACACGTGAATTATCATCCGTCTACTCCATAAAGTCTATGATTCCAACCAATACCTAAAACTATTTTGTGTGTGTGTGTGTGTGTGTGTGTGTGTGTGTGTGTGTGTGTGTGTGTGTGTGTGTGTGTGTGTGAGAGAGAGAGAGAGAGAGAGAGAGAGGGGGGGGGGGGGTCATAACATCTGAATCCCCCGTTGCCTGTCAACTAAAATAGAATGTTAGAGGAATCGATGACTCAAAAATACAAAGAGTGTAAAAGGGGTGCATAATAGGGGAGAGTGGGGTAAGTTGAGCCAAAGGGTAAGTTGAGCCACCCCCTGTTGCTTGGAAATGGTAAAAGAAATCGATCATGTGACCAAATATTTAGGAGATGGGCATCAATTCATAGAGTCTGTGAAGGTTAGAAGCACATGGGTGAAGGGGTTAGGCATTTATTTACAAAAAAAACAAAAACAATTTTCACTCTTGAAAGTGAATTTAGTCGGTCATCAGTTTTATAAGAAATGTGTTCAGACCAAAAAAGATCATTTGTAATTTGTTTTGTACATCAATTGTGGTATCTATGAGCTACAACATGAGGTCGAAAACCCAACATAAAAGTCCATCATTTTAGCTTAGAGGACTAATAAAGTCTTCATAGACGTTCTGGGGTAATATATATATATATATATATATATATATATTCTGATATATATATATATATATATATATATATATATATATATATAGGCCTATTTTTAATTCAAGGTAGAATTAAATGTCAAAAAAGCCATTAATGGGTTGAAAACAAAAGCGTCATTTTTAGTGTTTATCATAGCCCCAAAGAGGAGAAATTTGTATCAAAACCCAACTCAACAAAAATTAATAGGCCTACCTACCACTGAAAACAATAAAAAGAATATTACCTCCACATGTTAGCTTGCAGGAATAAACTAATGGTTTAATAAAATTATTTTGTGGACTAAAACTAAGATATAAAATGAGTAATATTGATATTTGTTGTATGACTGGACATAAAAAGTTTCCCTTTTAGTACAAATTAAGTCAGTAACAAAGCAGGGTTACTCCAATGGTCTTTAATAACAAACAGTTCACTCAATTCCCCACTAGATGGAGCCATTAACCAAATATTCTCCTCTCTGAGGGAAGCATAAGGAATCGTTCACGTTCAACTGTATTAATGTGAGGGAAAGTGCTACTTAGACATTGGAGACACCAAAAAGCCATCCTTGAAGAAACCCATGTATCATACAGGTAATCTCAGGCTTTACATCAGTTGAAATAAAAAATGCCACTGCAGAAACAAAACACCAGGCAGCGAGGTGATCTTTAAGATTTGTCTGTCTGAGAACAACTTCAGTCTTTTAGAGAATCATATTCCAGAGTAAATCCTAGACTCAGAGTCCGGGGCTTTAGTGTGTAGGCATCCATCCTAGTTGATGTGCTTCTGTGTCTTCTGCAGCTGAGATTCACATTCGTATTTGTGCTCCAAACTAGAGCCCAGTGAAACGACAGATTAAACAAAAGCGTGGGGGGAGCTGGCAGCAGGTTGTTTATTGCGTGCCTCTGAGTGAATCCAAGAGGCAGCGGTGATTAGCAACATATGCAGCTGGGGATCAAGTGAACCAGACCCAGGGTGGCACTTGAGCTAATTTCCATACATTAATTCACTTATGTACATATACTAATTCCTTTCAGTATGTCATTATAAAGTGCAGGATTACTATAAGGAAATATGTCAGTGACAGGCAAGTTAAGTCTGAGACACTGAAACAAGGTGTCTGACAGACCACGAACAAATACTGTGAACTTTTTCAAAGAAGTATCTTCTTATTTTTCTAAGCGAACCATGATTTATACAATAGATTGGACAAAAGGCGTAAAAGAACAACAAAAACGTTTTTAAGTAAGAAGAGGGATTTTCCTTTACAAATACTAAGAAAGCACAGAAATCATTGATAAATTGAGAATAGTTATGATAAAATTTCATTAAACTGTGTGTATGCATTCATATATCGTTTCCTATGTCAATGAAGATAAATGAGTAAGGTTCATTTAGAGGGCAAGAAATTTCAGAGTTTGTGTGTAACTATGTGTATGAACATATATTTAGAATATAAATGTTTATTTTTTGCTAAGTCTAACTTAAATCGAGTAAATTGGATCCAAACAGTGCTTGAAAGATGTAGGAACTTGATCATAGAAAAAAAAAAATCTCATAGTTCAGGGCAGCACTGGGACTGTACTGTCTTTACTCTCGTGGTGTGGAGTCTAGCATTTGTATCAGGTGTTGAATCTGCACATTGAGGGATAACAAGTTTGTACCATCTGACTGGTGGCAATGCCAGACTGCCAAAAACCAACAAATGGATGCAATTTGGTCACAAGGTGAAGACATCCTTGGGCCTGAAAGAAGAAAAAGTAAAGTGGAAGGATGATATAGATGACTGACTGAGCTGTATTTATGTTTTAAATCAGCATTGTTAGCTAGCAAACTACTTCTCTCATGGGCTGTGTTTTTGTTACACTTTTCTTCGCATTTGTGTGTCTAATTATAATATATAGAAAAAAACTGTGCTTGCTTTGTATATTTAAAGGTCCTACGAGGAGTTTTTTTTTTTTTTGCTATTTATAAAATAGACTGAAATTTATACTGATGCCTTCAGATGATGTTACTTGAGCATATACAGGACAAGATAAGCAAAGGCTGTTTGTCCACAGGGGGCGCCAAAATTGACACAAATGGGAAGTTCTTCACAGACGCTTTAACACCAGTCATTGTATTTGTGTATTCAGGGGTGGTTTAATCCTGCTTTTATACAGTTCTAATATTTATATTTTATATATATTTATAATATATAATATCTATTTTTATTGCCCAGTGAAAATTTATTAGCACCTATAACAAACAAACTAGTAATCCCAAGACCCCTTTAAACAATGAAAAATAATACATTTATCAAACAAAGAAAGTAAATTAATAATTTTCTAATGGTAAGAAACAATAATGATCATCATGTCCCACATTATGTGTTTAATAACGGGATTCATATAATAGTAAAGCACTTCATAGATATATTTTATATGTCTAGATTTTTAATGATAATAACCAAATCTTGGTCACAGTAGATTACTTTGGAGAGTAGATGCCAGGTAAAACGATGTGAAATAAGAAAAACATTGAGATCCGTGAATTATTATTCGCAGTGTTGAATAGTTTATGTGATCTTGGCCTGTAGAGCAAAAAGGGTGAATGTCAGAAGAGTTCTTAGTGTATTATTGTGTCTCCTCTGCTCTCTTGTGCCTGCATCACTCAGCCCTTCTCTGTTTTATCTGGACCCTCACAGAGGTCTGGCCAAAACCTGAAGGGTTTCTGGAATCAAACCTTCGGGGACACAACACTGTACCCAAACTTTCATTTTTTTTAAAAGACAGACAAAAAAGAAAATCCTCAAACTGAAATAAGGGAATTCCACAAATTACCATTTCCTCCAAAGTAATCCTGTTACCATTGCAAAGAATATGGTGTGGTGTAAACATGGAAATAGACTGCTAATATAGAAGTAGCTTACAAGCAGAGACTCTGTTCAGCTGAGATATACAGCTGCAGACCCTGTTTCAGATCCCAAGTAAAGAAGAAAGCCACAAATTCAAAGTGGTTACAGAAAATTCGCTTCTGAGGGGAGATTTAAAATTTCAGATGTTTTTACTTCATTTATTCTTTGCATTGCAACATTTCAACTCATTCACCCCCCAAAAAATAACGGTTCTATGGCGGGATTCAGGGCTCGCATTGCTGCAGAGAGATAACTGATGAATATTTAGAAGCATTTTATCTCCCCATCTGTGCACAGGCTTTATCTTGTGTCTGTTTCACACATTGTGAGCCACTGAGTGCATGGAATGAGTGACAAGCATATAATCTTGATTGCATCTTGATGCTATTACCTTATGCTGCCAGGCGCTCAGGTGACAGCTGGGGGACAGTGGGGAGATCTGGGGGAAAAGGTGACATTGAATTTTGTGCACCTGTGTCAAACGACGGCGGCGCCTTGCAGACACAAGATGGCGCCAGTTGAGTGAGTTCAAACTCTTAAATTTGAGAGTTCAGAAGGCAAGGCACAACCTGGTGAAGAATAACCTCTACAAATAAAAGAAAATAACAAAAAAAGTTATCCTGGTGCAGCCATTATGAGGGAAAATAGCCGCCCTCTATCAATAGGATTTCTGATGTGTGGCATAAATTGCTAACTAATAGCTAAACTGAACAAAGATATGTTCGCGTGCGTCTCAACATGCATTAAACAATTTGTGTTAAATGCTTTAGAATTATCCACAATGATTTTCCAACAAATTCAGCGCATGACAAATTGTTTTCAGCCACAGAGGCAGTATTACAAATTAAAGCAGCACATTAATGTGTTGTTTAGATTATTGAGTATGTGTAACAACATGAACCAGAATTGCCTCCCGGTCATTTCTGGTAGCAATAATCTGCCTATCCACAAATGATGCTTTTTATTCAGGGGGGAGGCGAAAGGGACTCTCACCATTTCTTGTCTCCCCCCCTTCTCTCTGTTTCTCAGTCTGTTTTGCTATTAGACGCTTTAATGCTTTACGTCGTGGCCTATCTTTAAAACTGGAATGCTGATGATGATAGTGGCCCTGCAGCGGTGCTTTCTACACCCCCCCTGAAGCCCCCCTCAAACCCCAGCCCCGGTCTGCTCTTCTACACAGAGGGCAATAAAGACACAGGGAGGATTAGTGTTGTGTGCCTAACAAAGTGGTTGCCAGAGAGTGAGAAGGCCATGCCCATGGGCTCCACCACAGCCCCGCTCGACTCTGCTCGGCTCCTCCATCGAGGCACCCTCCACCCCCCCACACACACACCCTCACCCCACTCTCCCCAAACTGCTCGGGCTTCCCTAAGGTCCGCTCTCTCTCAGGGAGCTCTGTGGAAGTGTGATAGACTCTGAGTGGGTGAGTTTCATGTTGATGCTAAAGAGGCAGAGGACGCAGACAGATAATCCACGGCTTAAGCGGTGCTGTCGTAACTTTTCCCCCTTAAAACAAGGGAACATATGTGCAAACAGTTAAATTTAATTCAATCACATACCCGCGC